TCAATGAGTTTGACCGATTAATCTTGCATCGTTGGAGCTTCGGATCTGTAGGTCCATTAGGTCCCCTTGCTAGCTCATAACGGGTAAAACGAGGATCAAATTTTTGGAAGAATTTGAATTGTTCAAATTTCTTAACGGATTATATGTATATTGGTACATTATAATATATAGTTAATTATAAATTAAAACTATATATTATGAGAGATTGACTTGCCATTAATGGTTGTATATCCGTGGACATAAAAATATTCTGCAGTGAGAAGAGTGCAGTTGCAGGTTTTTAGTGGAGTGACCCGTAGTTAACGAATGTTGATTAACTCGATTAATGAGTTTGACCGATTGACTTCGTATCGTTGGAGCTTCTGATCTATAGGTCAATTAGGTCCCCTTACTAGCTTACAACGGGTAAAACAAGGATCAAGTTTCTTGGAAGAATTTGAAATTTTCAAATTGCTCAAGGGATATATATATGTATGTTGATACATTATATTATATAGTTCTAAATTAAAACTATATATTATGAGAGAAATTATTTGAATGAGATTTAAATAAAATTAATATGAATATGATTCATATTAAAACTATATGTTAAAAATGATGTGCATAAGATGTACATTACAACTATAGGTTATACGAAAGAAATGTTTTAGAATATGATTCTATTTTGGTAATAAATAATTAAGTGTTAATTATTTATTTGATTGATATATATATATTCTTCGTTCCTAGAGGATAGCCGGGAGGAAGAAGGTGTTCAAAAGTAAGTTTCTTTTTCCCCTGTATTGGATTGAACCCAAGACCTCAAGGATATTCCTTAAAGCCCAAAACCACCCAAGTTATCCGTTTGGGACAGTTCATATACATCTTAGAAATATTCAAAATGAGAAAAACAATACAACTCGACATATTCTCAAAGAAGAAGAACAATGTAAAAGCTCGTTTTAGCCACGGGTAAATGCTCTAGCCCCTTGTCGCCTCTTTCTCGCACCGACCTTCTTTTTTAAGATGTAGTTTTTTTCTCTCTGTCCGTGCCTATTTTTCCACAATATTCTTCTTCGGGTCATCTTCCTTTCACAACTATTTTCGCTTTTATACCACCCATTGAAATTAGGGCGCCAAATCTACCGCAATGTATGGTCATCAGAAAAAATTTAGTGGAAAACGAGTTACTGCAAACTACTTTGTCGCTACTATCTTCTTCATCTATAGTGAACAGCCTTTGATGCTTCGACACCTCCCTGCACTAGAGCCAAGTATCACAGATTAGCATAGTCTAACCAAATTTTTAGAATGCTGTGCAAAAGTTCCTAATTTTCTTATCTTCATTTAGCAGGCTCTAAACACACACAAATCATACCATGAGCAATAATTATCTTTAAATTATAAGCTAAATTTAACCTAAGATAACTCTCTTTTAAAGGTATATCACTCATCCTCTCCTTGAATAAAAGTAAAGAACTACATAACCGATTATTATGCCGGTCAAGGAATTGGTCAACGAATTGAGTCACAAAGTTCCTAAAGGAAGAGATGTTCCTTCCTTCAGATTTTTGAACCAGTCCTTGCCGACTGAATCAACGTCAAGTTAAAGGCTTGACATCTCAGGGCGTCACTAAAGTTGTTGATCTACATCCATTTCAAGTATGTCTCCATGTGCTCGATAGGGACCTTGAACTTGCCCAACAGTAGGACGATTAGGATGTCGTCCGTAAAGGGTTCATGGTTGAACTTAAGCAGCTTTTGGGCAAGGTGGGACTTGCCTTGGCTTTCTCAATTCGGCATCTTGAGTTCATTCTAAAGCTCGTCCTTTTCGCTCTCCCATGAACTTATCCAACTTGCTTTTCCACGAGTTGTTCTGTGATTCCTTTGCCAGATAATAAATTGACTTATCCACCTTGTAGCGCAGATTGAGGTCGGCCATCTTTTCATTCAGTCAATCCCTCATGTCCCTTGAGGGCATTTGGATTTCTTGGGTTTTGGTGGAGGACCACTAGGGGCAGAGGTTAAGCGTCTCCTTGAGGTACCAAGATGGTCTCCAATTCTTCCTATGAGAGTTGTCCTTGGTTGGGCCCTTCTCCTTTGGATGTCTGACACTTGCTTGTAGGAGAAGAGCTTGGTCATCTCCTTTATTTGCTCTACAAGGCCATCAAGTTAGGCCCAGATTGAGGTTATAGCCATTTTCTCCGGCCACTTTCAGGTTGGTGTCTTTCTTGCTGCCTCCCTTTAGTGAGTGGGGAAAATTATTTTTCCACCTCTGCAGATGAGAGGAGTGGTGGCTGCTCATCAATGCATCATCCACGTCTAGTGGTGCATTAGTGCGATAGTGGTCGTGGCTACTAGGGTCTTCGAAGGAGCTGCTTTTTCGAATGTCATCTTTATAGTTTCGAAAAGTGAGGTGGTAGAGTATAGGTTGACCTATAACTCTTATTTTGCACAAACGGTGGCAACTTTTGATATAGGATTCAGGACGAGGTAATAAGTCAGCAGGTGAGTCAAGATGAACTACAGATGAGACAAGCTAACAACTTGCAAACAAAACCTTCCAGTGCTCGACCATGTACATGCTAAAGCTAAAGTTAGTACTTATTCGAGCTAGTGTCGAGCCGAGCTTAGTAAACTGCACAGAGATTTTGTACCTTTGAAATGGTAGGATTCTGCCTTATCAGTCTGTCACCCTGACACGATATACATATATATGTGTTAGTGAATTTCTCGTTGACACTAGCTGCTTTTCTTAAGGTTGTGTCACAACAGGATTTCCACGAGCTAGTCTGCCTTTTAGGTCGGCTATCAATCCCACTTCGTCCTCCTTGTGCCTAGATGAGGCCCAACTACATGTTTCTAAACATGTGGTCCATGTAGCAGATCTATATGAGTTACTAGTGAACGACATTTTTTAGGGCGAAGCTTCCCTTAAACAATTTCATTTTCATTGATACTATAACCTAAATACGCTTTCCTACTCATCAACATCATTTTGAATGCGACTGAAATTGTTTATTTTTTTATTTTAATATTTCACTTGTGGCAACATTCATTTTCCAACTCACTGTCACATCATATTTCAATCTTCATTTCAACGAAAAGGTTAATGTAATAGCAAGTTTGGAAAGAATTTTAAACTTTTCTTTCCCAATAAAGAATTTTAAACCTTAAAGATTAAAATAAATCATTTGAAATTCTTTTCCAATAAAGAATTTTAAACCTTAAAGATTAAAATAATTCATTTGAAATGACAAAGACATAATTAACATTTAACTCCAAATTTATGGAGCATAATTGAAACTTGCCACTAGTATCCACATGTACCTCTCTACTATTAGTACCGTCTCCATTTTAATAAAAAAATATTGATAGAAGAATTATTTTGAAACAATTTTAAAGGTTAAAAGGATAAAAATGGAAGTTTTGAAACTAGAATTTCAGAATCATTTTGTACAATTTAACCAAAAAAAGACTATTATTTTTGGTGGTTTGTCAATTGGAATTTTACCGGCAATGTAATGTATTTTATTTTTTACATATTTTTTAAACTTTTTTTCATTGTTAAAATTTTATTAAGACCTCGAAAACATTATTAACTTAACACAATTCTTTTAATCTTAGAATGTAAAATATTATTTTATTTTAAAAGTAATAGAACGATTTTTCTTACAGAAGCACCCTTAACTGGTAAAGAATACTATGCATATATCTCTGTAAAACTGTTGAGTGTTATAAGAAAAATATATTTGCTTGGTTGATTGATTTGAGAATAATAGATCACTCTACCATCAAACACACTAAAAAAAATTTAAAAAAAAAAAATCCCTTTAGAACTCATGCTTGTTCCTCAAGTGGTTCATTCAAAATATTTACACAGCAACAACAGGAATTTGTACTTCTGACTTTGCAGCATCTTCTGGAACGCTGTTTTCGGGTTTCGGCAGGGGCACGTTGTGTTTCGGAAGTTGCTGCTTGTCGTGTTGCTGCTGCAGATTAAGAGATGTGTACACAGACATTCCCCCGAGCGCCGTGACCGCGCCACAAATGCTCAAGAACCCGGGATCAGAGCTGAAAACAAAATAGCCTCCCAGAAGAATCACACAGGTCTTGAACTGTCCCAGAACAACATGAGATGTTGCAGAGGTTGCACTGCACAAAATTGAACAACACTGCTAACGAAGTAAGGAGAGGCTGAAGACGAGAACATTATTTACAATATAAGTTGGTCGTAATTGCAAAATCCACATCGAAACTCGAAAGCTCAATACAAATTCAACCACATTGCTTGTGGTGTAAACTGATTGTCATATATAACAAACCATATAGTTCAAGTGAGAAAATACATGATTCTCGTTGATGTGATATCCAACTAGAAATCATGGATTTTCCCACTTTTTACACCCACATGACAGAAAAACAAAAGAAAGATTAAATTACTTTAAGTTTGATAATTGTGTTTATTAAATCTCTCAACTTTGGCCAACAACTTTAGCCAACATGAGCTTAACTTAACGGTAATTGACACCTATCTCTGATCAACAGGTCATATGTTCGAATCTCCCACCACTAGTACTAAAAAATAAAAAATAAAAAATAAAAAATAATTAAATCTCCCAACTTTAAATAGTTTGATTTACGTCCACAAACTTTCATCTTTTGATAACTAGGAGTTGAAGTTTGTTCCTCTGTACCAGGGTCAATTTACGACCATAAATTTTGAATTGAATTTCATGTAGTCTCCAACATTATCATTGCAAACTAACTGTCAACTGGACAATTAGACTAAATAGAGTGATGTTGTATTTGATACATTACTCTGGCTATCCACTTTATTTTGCCATGTTGTGCTAAATCAGTCATCTACTTTCTTCTGTCATGCCATGTCAATATTCAGCTAACAATATTAACAGCAGCAGCTACCTAGAATCACAATTCAAAGTTTAGGGACGGAATTTAAACTTTTAATGTTCACAGGCTAAACTTGCAACCTAACCACAAAAAAACAACCAACATGAATAACCGAGGAAAAATCTATACGATAGCGTGAAACGACAGTTCATCCCTATAAATTTGAGTCTTACCCAAGTGCCAATGCTCCAGACCATTGCAAGAGAAAGCCAAGCAGAGCAGATATCAAAATTGCAGTTGAACTGCTGAGATCCCAGTTAAAGAGGAGAACTCCTGGTGGATCCAGCCATGGCATGAGAGCAAGTAAGAAAAATATTGTAATTGGAGTAGTTTTCCACATCAACCTAAAACACCAGAAATTGACTGCAGTGTGAAAAACAAGTATCCTCATCTTTCCTCAAAGGGGACACAGTGAAAATGGAAAGTAAAGATCACGAGAGCTTACGCTAAGGCGGTCCAACTCGCCTTCTGTTGCAGATTGGACCATAGGATTTTGTTTATGGCACTTGGGACTATCCAAGCAATCGCAATCAAAGCACCGAATAGGTTGAACTCTAAATCCGTTACGGTTGCTACTGCCACGCCCACGGAGACGACAAACAAAGCCAAAACCTGCACAAACATGACTCTGTCTGAAAAAACATTACGAGAAGTGACAACTCTCTTCAAACAAAGAGAAGTAGAAGTAGAAGAAAGAGATGTTTCTTGCATTGGGACCTTTTTAAAAGAAATGGTTTTCTTGAAGAGTACGAACTCTGAAAAAACAATGGTGGGAGTTACAGCAATTTTAGCCATCTGGT